TGCTGCTTGGCCTGCTGTGTTCATCCAGCCCTGCACCTTGTTGTCTCGGATTCTCCAGCATCTGCAGTTCCTACTATCTCTGTCACTTTCAGCTCACCTCTGGAATTCAGCTCTTTTGTCCATGGCTGTAATGAGGTCAGGAGCTGAGTGGCCCTGGTGGAACCCAAACTGGGCGTCACTGAGCAGGTTATTGCTGAGCAAGTGCTGCTTGATAGCACTGTTAGTGACACCTTCCATCACTTTACTGATGATCGAGAGTAGACTGATGGGATGGTAATTGCCCAGTTGGTAGATGCAGTGTTGTAGCTGAAACTAGAACAGCTTGGCAATGTGCATAGCCTGTGCTTATAACTGCTTCGGTACTATTGCCGGAATTTTGTCAGCATTCATAGTTTTTGCATTATCCACTGCCTCCATGCCTCTATCACATGGAGTGAATTGAATTGGCTGAAGACTGGTATCTGTGATGCTGAGGAGGAGGCCAAGATGGATCATCTCCTCAGCACTGCTGGTTGAAGATTGTTGCAATTGCTTATGCTTATTCAGATATACTAGGATCTTCCACAATTGACGATGGGGATTTTTTTTTTTTTTTTTTTTTGGAGCATCCTTCTCCAGTGAGTTGTTTAATTGTCCACTACCATTTGTGAATAGATGTGGCAGGACTGCAGAGTATAGATCTGATCTATTGGTTGTGGAATCACTTAGTTTTGTCTATCACTTACTACTTGTGTGTACACTGCATAAAGAGCATTTTGTAGTTTCATCAGGTTGGTACCTCACTTTTATGTATGCCTGTTGCTGCTCCTAGCATGCCCTCCTGTACTCTCCATTGAATCAGGATTGATCCCTGCTTGATCATCATAGTAGAGTTGGGTTATGCCAGGCCATGAGGTATCAGATTGTGCTGGAGTACAGTTCAACTGCTGCTTATGCCACACAGTGCCTCACAGATGCCCAGTATTGATTTGCTAGATCTGTTTAAAGTCTGTCCCATTTAGCACCATGATAGTGCCACACAGCACAATGGAGGGTACTCTCAGTGTGAAGACGCGACTTCCCCGTAAGGAACGTGTGCCCTCATCAGCTTCCAAAATTGAATTCCAAACTGATTGAAAAGAAATGAGACATTAAAACAAAGGTTAGTCATCCCTCTTTGGCTGTAAAAGATAATGCAGACAGCTTGAACTGGCTGGCAGGATGTATCAAGTGGTATGCTGCAGGGATGAGAAAAGATGGGCCAGAAAGTAAGTTGTGAAGAGGATATAAGGAGACTGTGAGTGAATATTGATAGGTTAAATGAGTGGATGAAGACCTGTTAAATGAAATATAATCTGGGAAAATATAAAAATAATTGACAGGAATCTAAAAACATGTTGTCTAAATGATAAGAGATTGCAGAGAACATACAAATTGTAACAGAAGTAGGCTACTCAGCCTCTTGAATCTATTCTGATGACTATTCATGGCTTACTTGATCAAACCATAGCACACCTATCCCAATAGTCAAACAGATGAAAGGTTTTCAAGACCGCTGAGATCTGGTATCCCAGTACATGAAGCGCAAATGTTCAGTTTGCAGGTACAACAAGCTTTGACGAAAACCAATAGAATCTTGTTTATTACAAGGGGAATTGAACACAAAAGAGAGACCGCATCTGGGGCACTGTGGACAGTATTGGTCTCCTTATTTCAGGAAGAATTTACTTGTCCAATACTTTGGGTTGTTTTGTGGAGACAAGATAGCCTTGCATGCTCTGGAGTTTAGAAGAACAAGAAGCAAGTTAAATGAAACTTAGGATCCTGAAACTTTTGACACTGGGGATGTGGAAGGAATGTTTGGAGAATCTAGAAGTAGGGGTCACTGTTTTAAAAATAAGGTTGTCCATTTAAGACAGATGAGGAAGTTTGTTTACTCAGAGTTGAGTCTTTGGAACTCTTTTCCTCTAAAGGCAGTGGAAATGGAGTATTTGAATGTTTTTAGGGCAGAGGTAGATAGAATCTTGATAAGCAAAGGGGTGAAAGGTTATGACCTTTCATTAGAACCAATGGAGGGAGTTGAGGTGTCATCAGTTTAAAGTGTTAACTTCAATTCTTTCTACAAGCCCGACCTGCCCTGCACAATATTTCTTGTTTTTAATTCTCCCAATTACCCTCACCAAAATGTGTACTGCCACGAAAGTCACTTTTCAACAAATCACCTGATCATGATCACATTGGTGGTTGTGGAAACTTCCTGTGTAAAAATTAGCTATCACATTCCCTTCAGTACAACAGGAACTACACATCAAATTGGCTGTGAGGCATTGTGATTTTGCTGATATTGGATGGTTTGGGAGAGATGTGCTTGTGCAGTGAGTCAGCTGTAAAAGATTGGATGGTAGACAAACAGGAGGCTGGAAGAACACAACAAGCCAGGCAGCATCTGGAGGAAGGGAGTAGTCAACGTTTTGGGTATTACCCTTCTTCAGGACTGGAAATGGGAGAGCTGCAGATAGAGGGGTGGGGGGGGAGGAGTGGAGGAGGAATGGTGGTGATAGGTGGACACTGGTGGTACATATGAACTTGTTAGTCGATGGGAGGGATGAGTTAGTTGGTGGCTGGAAGGGACGGTCAGAAGACAGAATGGAAGGGAGGATGTGGGGCTGGAAGGGGAGGCGGGGTTAAGTGGGAAGGTTATTTGAAATTGGAGAACTCAATATTGACTCCTCTGGATTTACCTTGAGGGATGAGATGGTGGCAAACACAGGAGCTGAGGAAGGTCACATGGCTGTAGCAGAGGGTTTATTTCATGGTGTGGTCGAAGGGCTGAAGACTCAACATTAAGTTCTCCAATTTCAAATAACCTTGCCATCCAACCCCGCCTCCCATTCCAGCCACCAACCGGATTCATCTCTCCCATCGACCAACCAGGTTGTACCTACCACCAGTGTCCACCTATCACCACTATTCTGCCTCCATGCCTTCCCCCAACCCCTCTTTATCTGCAGCTCCTGCAACCCCCATATCCAGTCCTGAAGAAGAGTAATACCCAAAATGTTGACTGCTCTTTTCCTCCAGATGCTCTTGCCTGCTGTGTTCTTCCAACCTCCTGTTTGTTTACCTTGGATTCCAGCAGCTACAGTTTTTTTTTAATCTCTAACTGTGAAAGATTGGATGACTGGGCCACAATCTATGATCTATGCATGTTCAAGTTTACAGTCCTCTGCTTTGAAGGAACAAAGATGAGCACTATACCAGGTTGGTGGCAGGGACATTGTAACAATGGAGAATTTCAAACCAACATTTCTGTTGTACTTTTTCTTTCAAGCTTTTAGTTAAAGATGTGCGACTGAGGAATGGTCCCAGTTCTACTGTTAACTCAGAAAAGCCTCTTTTTATTGTGACAATAAATGTTATATTTGGGTTGTGGTGGTATCATCCAAGACTCATAATTCACTTGCAAATAGTGACTCTTGCAATGCTAATTTCTCCAGAGCTTCTGAAAGATGTGTCCTTTTTGTCTTTGCCTTGCCTCTCTACTGTGAGCATGCCAACTCTTACATGGATACAGTTTCAATACCTTCCAAGCTGACACTATCTGTGTATCAGCTTATGGAATGAGTATTTACAATCCATTCATCTTCTACAGTTAAACTTAATCCTACCTTCACTTAAAATCTAATCACATGCACATAGGCGAATCCTACTTTTATTTTCCCTTGCAGAGTAGTACTGATGTCATTGTAAGCCATCAAATACTATGAATTCACCTTGGGATATTCTGTATGAATAAATGTTATGCAGGCAATGCCATTATCTACTGCAACATTGGGTAACTCTGAATGTTTGTTTAAAGAATTAATATCTTTAAAAATATACATATCCTGTGCTTTCAGGTTCCAATGCCATGTGTGCCTACATTTCAGCTGTCCACGCTTGTTCCTGACCGTCTGGAAGCCATACAGAGATACACCAGGGAACTGCAGTATCCTTCAGATCAACAGGAATGTTGGAGTGCACTAATGGGTTTTTGGTCTGCAGGCCGTGTCTCTCCACAATGGATAATGCAACGTCCAGGAACAAACCAAATGCAATTAGATTTTCTTTGTGAAGTATTGTCCAGACTATGGTCAACATGTTCCTGGAACAGTATGCTTGATGTGGATCCTCTTGTTATTCTTAAATAAATATCATGTTCAGCTCCATTGTGAAGGGTGTGTAAAAGAAGCAAGCTGTTTATCCTTTGTTCACATTAGTGCATAGGGTGAAGCAAAATGTGAGCAAGCCGCCCTGGTATTGTTGAGTTCTAATGACCTCATAGAGTCATAGAATTGTACAGCAAGGAAACAGACCCTTCGGTCCAACTCATCCATGCCGACCGGACATCCTATTTAAATCTAGTCCCATTTGCCAGCATTTGGCCCATATCCCTCTAAACCCTTCCTATTCATATACCCATCCAGATATCTTTTGAATGTTGTAATTGTACCAGCTTCCACCACTTTCTCTGTCAGCTCATTGCATACATGCACTATCCTCTGCGTGAAAAAGTTGCCCCTTACGTCTCTTTTAAATCTTTTCCCTCTCTCCTTAATTTATGCCCTCTAGTTTTGAAGCCCCCACCCTGGCGAAAAAACTTGTCTATTCACCCTATCCATGCCCCTCATGATTTTATAAACCTCTATAAGGTCATCCCTCAGCCTCTGACACTCCAGGGAAAATAGCCCCAACCTCTCCCTATAGCTGACACCCCCAAACCTGGCAACATCCTTTTAAATCTTTTCTGAACCCCTTCAAGTTTAACAACATCCTTCCACTCAAAGGGCAACTAGTTTTGAATGCAGTACTCCAAAAGTGGCCGAACTAATGTCTTGTATAGCCACAACATGACATCCCAACTCCCGACCAATAAAGGCATACCAGACTCCTTCACTACCCTGTCTACCTGCGACTCCACTTTCAAAGAACTATGAACCTGCACCCCAAGGTCTCTTTGTTTGGCAACACTCCCCAGGACCTTACCTTCACTGTATAAGGCCTACCCTGTTTAGATTGGTTTGCCTTGCCAAAATGCAACCCCTTGCATTTATCTAAATTAAATTCCATTTGCCCATCTGTTAAAGGTCCCATTGTACTGAGGTAAACCTTTTTGCTGTCCGCAACACCACCAATTTTCCTGTTTGTTTTTTTTTTCAATTATTCCTACATTTGCAGGAGTAACAATAATAGTTTTCATTGCAAATAAAAATTTGCGTACTTTTCATTTTGTGAAAGTGGCTGTTGTGATGATATCACACAGCAGTCTCGCATAGACAACAAGAAGGTGAATTAAAAGGCCTGACAAATTTGGAGCTGCTGCAGGTATCTGCTGAGGCATGATAGTTTCATTCCCTCCTTTATAAATGGTCTGATTCTCTGCTGTTGACCATTAAATCTGTTACTGGTAGTTGGAACCAAACTGTAACAAAGGAACTTATTTGTAAACTGGACATGATCTCTGTGTAAAATGTCTGAACCACTTTAAATTTCCCCATGGGGAATTAGTTCTCTTCAAATGTGTGGAACAGCGGTACCAACACCCAAATTCTTTCATTCCCTTTTAATCAATCAAGACTGAGCCAGACACCTTTTTGATCTACAAGCGAGTCGAGAGTTATGGGACAGGGCTGGTGCAGGCAGGAAAATGGAATTAAGGCTCTGTGGAGTTTGCACATGCTCCCTGTGTCTGCATGGGTTTCTGCCAGATGCTGTGGTTTCATCCCACAGTCCAAAGATGTGCAGATTGGTTGCACTGGCCATGCTAAATTGCCCCATAGTGGCTAGGGATGTGCAGGCTAGGTGGATTAGCTGTGGTAAATGCATGGTTACAGGGGTAGAAGAGGATGCAGTTTGTATGGTCAGTGTAGGATGGATGGGCTGAATGGCCTCTATCTGCACTGTAGGGATTGCATGATTCTGTGATCTGGTTAAATGATGCACCAGGATCAATGGATTGAATGGTCTGAAACACAATGCTGCACACGATGCCACAAACATCCTTCAGCCCCCTAAGTCCTTTTATTTTTGTACAATGTGGCAACCAGAACTGTGCACAGTATCAAAATGTAATCAAATTGAAGTTCACTACAGGTTGAGTATAGTTCTCCTGGTTTTAAATTCTGTTCCTCTAGAAATAAAACAACTGTTTTTTTGTTGGTTTTGCTAACTTGTAGCACAACATTTAATAATGGATATATTAGTACTCCCAGAACCCTTTGCTCTTCTACCCAACCTAGCCTAGTACCCATTCAAGTGATATAATTAGTGACTTCTTTTCTTCCAACCAAAATCTTAACTCCTATTTGTCTGGGTGAAGTTTAGATATGTGCAATGCAGTAGATATAATTTATCGACACTGCTACCTCATAAAAACCAAATTAACAAGACCTGTTGAAGCAAGGTTTTTTCCACTTCAAATCAAACTGACCTTTTAATTTTTAAATTCTATATATTCTATTCTTTAATCATTCCATTGTTTTTCCTATCAGCTGTAATAAGCTAACTGCTGTATAATTCCCTGGACCTGTTCTGTTTACTTTAAATATAGGAATACATTACCTGCCAGTTCTCTGGCACTTTTTTCTGGTTATTTCTTAAATATGAGTAGTCATGTCTCTGCTTTCACTTTCCTAGATTCTCTTTAAAACACCTGTATACAAACAATCAGACCAGGAATATTATTCTCTTTGTGTTTGTTATTGGTATTCACAATAGCTGTTTTTATTGTTTGAATGCACTTTTCTCAGTAAATAGCATGTCTACCTGTTGTATCTCCCTGACAAACACTAAAGCAGAATAATTATTTTATTTCTTCCCTCTCTCTGTTGCTACCTGAGGCATTACCTTTTCATGGCCTTACTCCCATTAGAGCCATCCTTTCTGATTGACGTACCTGTAAAATATTCTACTTTTTGTTTTGTGTTCATTGATTATTTCATAGTGTGTCTCTGCCTTTTTTTAATTGATTCTTTGGCTTCTTTCCTAATCTTTTCATTTTCTCTCTCATGGCTCAATTGTTGCCTTATATCATTATTCATCCATGGAGTGCCACTAATGTTCAGGGTTTTTTTTTCTGTTTTTACTTTTACATGACTCTGCTGAACACCATTTTAAATTTTGCCTGTTGTTGATTGACATCATTGTTTATCAACATTGTCCCTTTTATTTTCCCAAGTTCTGTTAACAGTCCCTCAATATCCGCTTTTCTCCAACCACTTAACCTATTTTTTCTTGTATTGTGTTCTTTGTCATTTATCTAAATTGTATTATGTTGTAGTCACTATTACCTAGATGTGCTCCAAATTTGGTTCTTCTTGGTAAGATATATCCAGGTTATACTCAGATCATTTCTGTTTTATTTCTTTACCTTCACTACCACATGGTGGGTAAATATCAGTCTTTTTAAATTTATCCTTTTGTAGGATGTAGACATTGGTGGTAAGGCCAGCTTTTGTTGCCTGTTCCAAATTGCCTTTGAACTGGATGGCATGCTAGGCCAGAGAGGGCTGTTAAGAGTCAACACATTGCTATGGAGCTGGAGTCACATCTAGGCTAGACCAGGAAAAGATAGCAGGTTTCCTTCCCTAAAGGAAGTTAGTAAGCCAGGTGGGTTTTTATAACATGATAACTGTATGAGGCTAGCTTTCAATTCTAGGGTTTATTAGTTAATTTAGTTTTCCCTAGCAGTCATGGTAGGATTTGAACTGGTGTACCCAGAGCATTAGTCTGGCCTCTGGATTACTAGTACAGTGACATTACCATTACACCACCATCTTCCCTGAAATGTCACTTAGTTATTTATGGAATTAGATGTTCTACAAGTAACTAATCAGGACAATATAGAATCACAGAATGCTTACCCATTCAGCCCATCATGTCTGTGCTGAATCTCTGAAGGAGAAGATTGCCTACTGCTGCTTCCTCACCTTCTCCCTGTAGCCCTGCACATCCATCCTTTTCCGATTAATGATCTATATGGTGTGGATCCTCTTGTATGCCTTGATTAAACCCACATGACCACATTCTCCCATTAGTGCATTTTAACTGCTTTTCTGCACCCTTTCTCACATCTTCTCATCCATCCTAAAGTGTGATGCTAGAACTGATTTGCAGTAATCCAGTTAAAGCCAGACCAGTGTTTCATACCTGTTTAATGCAGTGTTTAATATAACCTCGCTTTTTTACTCTGTTCCTCTGATGAAGCCTAGGATGCTGCATGCTTTGATAATAATTCTTCCAATCTGTCCTGCCTCTTTTAATGATTGATACAAAGAAGCCCCCTCATCCCTCTGCTAGAACATAGAACAGTACAGCACAGTACAGGCCCTTCGGCCCATGATGTTGTGCCAACCTATTATCCTACCCTGCATACCCTACATTTTACTATCCTCCATGTGCACATCCAAGAGTCGCTTAAAAGTCTGTAAAGTATCTGACTCCACTACCACTGCCGGCAGCGCATTCCACACGCCCACCACTCTGTGTGAAGAACCTACTTCTGACATCTCCCCTATACCTTCCTCCAATCGCCTTAAAATTATCCCCCCCTCATAATAGTCATTTCTACCCTGGGAAAAAGTCTCTGACTATCCATTCTATCTATGCCTGTCATCATCTTGTAAACCTCTATCAAGTCACCTCTCATCCTTCTTCGCTCCAATGGAAAAAGCCCTAGCTCCCTCAACTTTTCCACATACGACCTGCCCTCCAGTCCAGGCAGCATCCTGGTAAATCTCCTCTGCAATCTCTCTAAAGCTTCCACATCCTTCCTATCATGAGGTGACCAGAACTGAACACAATATTCCAAGTGTCGTCTAACCAGAGTTTTATAGAGCTGCAGCAAAACCTCACGGCTCTTAAACTCAATTCCCCTGCCAATGAAAACCAACACACCATATGCCTTTTTAACAACCCTATCAACTTGGGTGGCAACTTTGAGGGATCTGT